CTGGATGACTGTGTTAAGTCTGAGCACCCACTGGTCAACCTGGATGACCGTGTTAAGTCTGAGCACCCTCTGGTCGGCCTGGATGACTGTGGTTAAGTCTGAGCACCCACTGGTCAACCTGGATGACCGTGTTAAGTCTGAGCACCGACTGGTCAACCTGGATGACTGTGGTTAAGTCTGAGCACCCACTGGTCAACCTGGATGACCGTGTTAAGTCTGAGCACCCTCTGGTCGGCCTGGATGACTGTGGTTAAGTCTGAGCACCCTCTGGTCAACCTGGATGACCGTGTTAAGTCTGAGCAGCCTCTGGTCGGCCTGGATGACTGTGTTAAGTCTGAGCACCCACTGGTCAACCTGGATGACCGTGTTAAGTCTGAGCACCCTCTGGTCGGCCTGGATGACTGTGGTTAAGTCTGAGCACCCACTGGTCAACCTGGATGACCGTGTTAAGTCTGAGCACCCACTGGTCAACCTGGATGACTGTGGTTAAGTCTGAGCACCCTCTGGTCAACCTGGATGACCGTGTTAAGTCTGAGCACCCTCTGGTCGGCCTGGATGACTGTGGTTAAGTCTGAGCACCCTCTGGTCAACCTGGATGACTGTGCTAAGTCTGAGCAGCCTCTGGTCGGCCTGGATGACCGTGTTAAGTCTGAGCACCCTCTAGTCGGCCTGGATGACTGTGGTTAAGTCTGAGCACCCTCTGGTCGGCCTGGATGACTGTGGTTAAGTCTGAGCACCCACTGGTCAACCTGGATGACCGTGTTAAGTCTGAGCACCCACTGGTCAACCTGGATGACTGTGGTTAAGTCTGAGCACCCACTGGTCAACCTGGATGACCGTGTTAAGTCTGAGCACCCTCTGGTCGGCCTGGATGACTGTGGTTAAGTCTGAGCACCCTCTGGTCAACCTGGATGACCGTGTTAAGTCTGAGCACCCACTGGTCAACCTGGATGACCGTGTTAAGTCTGAGCACCCTCTGGTCGGCCTGGATGACTGTGTTAAGTCTGAGCACCCACAGGTCAACCTGGATGACCGTGTTAAGTCTGAGCACCCTCTGGTCGGCCTGGATGACCGTGTTAAGTCTGAGCACCCTCTGGTCGGCCTGGATGACCGTGTTAAGTCTGAGCAGCCTCTGGTCGGCCTGGATGACTGTGGTTAAGTCTGAGCACCCTCTGGTCGGCCTGGATGACCGTGTTAAGTCTGAGCACCCTCTGGTAGGCCTGGATGACCGTGTTAAGTCTGAGCACCCTCTGGTCGGCCTGGATGACTGTGGTTAAGTCTGAGCACCCTCTGGTCGGCCTGGATGACCGTGCTAAGTCTGAGCAGCCTCTGGTCGGCCTGGATGACCGTGTTAAGTCTGAGCAGCCTCTGGTCGGCCTGGATGACTGTGCTAAGTCTGAGCACCCTCTGGTCGGCCTGGATGACTGTGTTACGCCCCCGGCAAGTCTGCGAGGAACTTCCGGGGCTCGAGGAGAATCTGTGACCGTGGCCCCATCTCAGGGATGTGGGACCTAAGGGTCTTCGTGCTGGCCCCTCACAGGGTCTGATTCAAAGGGGCAGGTCCTGACGGCTCTGGGGAGCGGTGGAGGGGAGAGTTCCAGGGAACAGGACATTCGGGAGAGGGTGGAGCAGGCAGGACTGCACAGAGGACATGCCGAGGGGGAGGCCAGCCTTGCGGAGGGACAGGGTGGACAGCCTCCGTGCCTTCCCCTCCTGTTCCATTGGCTGATTGGCCTCGGTCAGTACAGAAGTGGCCTTTTGTAAAGACGCCCCGAATATACCCAGAGGCCTTAAGATGCCAGTTGAAGCGGCATCGTGTTCAGTGTGTTTTAGAGCTGAGGTCTTCAAGGTAAGCTCCAAGATGACACACCTGGGGAGATCGGGGTCCCATAGAGGCCCTGCGGGCGGGGCGGTGCAGCTCATCACTGGGTCAGAGGGAGGTGTCCTTTCTTGTTCCTGCTGGTCTGTGGGCCGTGGTGTCAGGGGGCGGGGTGTGCGAGAGACTCTCCCTTCAATGAACCCCCAGCTCGTGTGGCTGAGGGCTCCTTGCTTCATTTTCACAGCACAAACTTACCTGCTCCTTCAGTTTTTACTTTTTACAATGCATTCATTCATTTATCCACTGGTTCACCAGGTGGTCAGACAGCCCGTGAGTCCTGCTTCACACTGGGCCTCGCGGAGGCTCACAGTCTGGACTGGTACCCATGTTAACCAGCATGAGTTAGCAATGGGACTTCGGGTCCAAGTCAAAAGGCAGAAGCCCGCATGCACCCCAGATGTTTTCAGAGCCTAGCTCAGCTCTCAAGCGAAACCTGAAACTTTCAGGTGGTTAATGCAGAGACAGCTCAGTACACGTGAGTGAAATTGAAACTGCGCCATCCCCATGGGCCAGGGCTCCAGGGACAGGGCTCAGGCCTGAGATGGCAAAAGAGTCTGCAGGCTCCGTGTGGGTCTAGATCAGCTGTGTGATTCCTGGGCCCAGGGCCAGGCACCCCTGGCCCCCATGAACAAAGATTATGAGTTGAGTTTAAAGGTCAGAACGTTCAAGTCATTTAGCTGAATTCCAAATACATTTTATGGGGAAATGTGCATTTTGCCAAGTTCCTAATAGTAAGGAAGTCAGCATTCTCTTATACGTGCACCTGATTTGGCTGTGGTTTTCTGGATTAGTGAGGGAAGTAGGGGGTTAATTTCATCAAGGTAAATGGGTAACTTTGCATGAATGCTTTCCTTGTACAAACATTTTAACAAATGTAGCTTTCTTCCCCTAATAAACATTTTTAATCTCAGTGCTACAAGTCAACACTTTTTGAAACTATTATGACAATATTTCAATATTACAGGAAAATGGATCTTCTTAGCAAACAGATGTAGACAGAGCCCAACTTTCTGAAGGCAAGACATAAAACAAGTATAGATTGAACTTGAATTTTATGGTAATTGGTATGCAAATATTCCCAGCACTCTCCTAATCCATCTAACAAGATGTAACGGCCAGCTTATTGCGTGTCTTCTCAAAGCATCTGTGTCAACAGATTCCCGTTTTTTTAAGGCTCTTCATTAACTGCAAGCAAAGCCCACAGCTTCTGCTCGTTTCATTCCAGCCAAGGCTGAATTAGAGGACATGCGTTTAGACACATCCTCTCGGCCAACTGGGCCGGGACCTCACGCCCACTGGCCACAGCAGCCTCTGGCGGGTGGAGCTATCCATGGTGCTGGCCATGGCTGGTCTGGGGGCCCAAGGACCCTCCCTCAGCCTTGGTCTTACCTTGGGCCCCCTTTACAGCTCAGACAACCCCGGCCCTGGCCTGACCTCCTCTCTGAAGTCCGCGGGGGTCCTTGTGCCGCCGGGGGCCCCTTCGCTCAGTCCCTCCAGCCCTGCCCGCTCCGCAGCCCCTCGTAAAGTTCACAGAGGCATCAGGGCTCCTCACAGCAGGTCCCCTGCAAGGGCCATGCCCTGCCTTTTCCAGGTCCCACAGGAAGGTGTGACCATCTTCGTATTCTGGACCAGGGCCGAGCCCGAGTCCACCTTGTCCTGCGTGGCTTCTGAGACTTGGGGTTAAGTCTCACTGAGGTCTTCGCAGGCAGGAGTCTCAGCCCCCACCTCCGTGTGTCCTCCTGCTGTGCTGGGCACACAGGGGCTGCAGCTGCGCCGACCATTGCGCGGCCAGTGACTGGAGCTGAGGACCGGCTCTGACCAGGCATGTGGGCTGAGCGGCTGCCCACCCCCTCCGCCTCCCTCCACGTTGCCGGAGTCTCCATCTGCAGGGCACAGATCCTGTGCTGCCCGGGTGCGTAAATTAGGGAATAATGGAACTGCAGAAGCATAAGCCCCCAATGATGGGGAATGCGTTTGTCTGCTGAGAAGCAATTTCAGCGAAAATTAACTCCATTTCAACGGAAAGAGTGAGGCTTGGCATAAGCTGGCCAATCCCATAGGACAATAAAATTACTTCGTCAAAGCTCTGCTCGCTCAAATTAACCAAGCGAGCACTCCAGGATCCTGGCTAGATACAGCGAGTAACTAGGTTTTAATGAACAAAAATAGCTTCTTGGATAAACAAGAAAAATAAACCGCAGCCTACCTCCACACATGGGGCTGGTCTCAAGGACAGCCCTCCACCAAGGGCACAAAGGCCCTGGGTGTCCTGCACGGCTACGGGCGCTGTCGGGGACAAGCCCCTGGACTAGTTCTGGCCGGTGATGAGCTGGCCGCGCTGGCCTTGCCCTCAGGGTCTGTCCTCTTGGCCATGGCGTCTTGGACAGTGAATCTCCTCTGGGTTTGTCCTCCTGCCTATGGACTGGCCGCCTGGGAAGCAAGCAACACTGACCACTTCACTTCCTTGAGACCATCTCCTTGACCAGCCATGTTCAACACAAGGCCCCATCTTCCTCTTCTCTTCTGCATGGTGTCCTTGCTCGTCCGCGGCTGGTCGCCTGTGCTCTGGACGACCGTTGCACCGACCATGCCATCCAGACCGAGGACCCTGGCCAACTGTGGTCAAGCCCCCGATGCCTGGGTACCCAGGCGGTTGTGCCCAGACACGTCTTGGCGCAAAATGTGCTTCTTCTCCCCTCTCCCAGTTAAATATCTCCTGCCTATTTGTCTGTATTAGTCAGGACTTCAGTGGAGAATTAGAACTGGTTGTAGACAGACACAAAGATGAGAATGGCATGGCAACCCACTCCAGTATTCTTGCCTGGAGAATCCTGTGGACAGAGGAGCCTGGCAGGCTACATCCATGGGGTCGCAGAGAATCAGACATGAGTGAAGCGATTTAGCACGCACGCATGCACAGATCTGAATAGAGAGAAAAGCCTTACGGCAGGAGGCTGTGGGGCGGCCAGGCAAACCCGAGGCCTGCAGGGCCAGCCACGGCAAGGCAGTCAGAAACCATCTCACTCCTCGGGGAAGGCTCGGGTCCATGTGAGCGGCTTTCCCCTGAGTAGACAGGCCCGCGGGGCCAGGCCGGGCAGTCTGGGTCAGCAGATGGACGATGTTAACCACCCCCATCTCCACGGCAGCGCCAGACGAGTGCTTGGCCAAACAGCTGGACGGCTGCTGCCCCTTCAGGGACGGAGGAGGGTCCCTCCTCGCTGTGCAGCTGGACCCAGTCGGACTGTTTTTCGGGTTTTGTCTGCAGCGGCGTGAGGCAGGGCCTGGGAGCGTGGTCAGCCCACCTCCCGCCCCTCACATCCGCAGCACATGGCTTGACAGGCTTGGTGTGGCTGTCGGCCCTTGTCTGGGTCTCCACGTCCAGTGGAAGGAGCTTTGCATCCAGACCCTCCATGGGGCTGCTGACAGGACAGCCTCTCAGCTCCTGAGCCCCCAGCCCAGGAGGCCTGATGCCGTGGGGCCTGGCTGCTCGAGCCAGGTGGGAAATGGTGAGGGCAGGGGACGGGTTGGCAGAGAGGCTGTGGGGCTGGACCAGGCGGCTCCTCCGTGTCCCGAGACCCAGCTGTGCCCAGGAGGGGGCCCAGGCTCCCAGTCCCGCCCCCGGAGGAAGCCTGAACCAGCACCCTGCCCTCCACGGAGGAGTCTGTCCCAAGCGCCCAGTGCACAAACACGTCTCAGTAACAGGAAGAGATGAGCAGCACCTAGGAGACGGCTGGAGGACGTGAGCTCCGGAGAGGAAGTAGTGGGAAGACGCTGACCCTGACGCCGGTTGGCAGGAAGATGCACACAGAACCAACGCGATCCTGTCTCACTGACCCCCGGCTTGCGAAACTGGAGGATAAAATCGGGTGCTGCTGAAGCTGAGGGTGATGGGCTGCCCTGGTCCTCCTGGACCATGTGCGCCTTGGGATGCGGCATCTGCACATCCGGGGCGGTGGGGCGTAAGTGGGCCGGTCCCAGGTGTGGGGAACAGCTGCAAGCCCTAGGGACTGCTAAGGTGGTCAGTGAAGGGGTCTGGGAGGCTGCCCAGCGAGCAGGCGTCTGTGCTGCCTCGGCCTTTCTGGGGACGAGCTCCCGCAGCCGCTCGGGGTGAAGGCCTGACCCTCCCCCCCACCTGGGGTCAATCTCAAAGGGGCCACAGGGGCCCTCTGGTCCGGCCGGAAAGGATGCCTGGGTCTGGAAGCCCTGCCTGCCCCATCTTGGCCCCTGCCCACCAGGAGCCAGGGGCCACAGCCACCCGTGAGACCAGTGGGGTCTTGCAGCCTCCACCTGGGCGCCCATCCTGGGTGGAGGCGGCCTGAGACAGCACTTGGTCCTGCGACTCAGCTGTGTGATCTGTAGCGCCTGTCTCTGTCACCTCCTGCAGGACCTCCTGCTAGGCCTGTGGGAAGCACCTGGGGAACATCTGCTTCCTCTATAAACACAGCTATAAAGTTTCCGTTTGCCATGAGACTTTTTAAAGTAAGCGTCCATGACTTCCAGGAATCCCTGGTGTAACCCCATAGTTCCTTTTTATAGATTCTTGCCCCTGCTTACTGTTCAAAACCTGAATTACAGAAAGGAAAGGCGAGGAAAACATAGCCCAGAGGACCAAAGACCTGCAGCATCAGGGTGAACTGGAGGGTGACAGCTTTGAGGCAGCCCGCGGCCGCTAACTGCGTTCTCTGCCCCCCGGGCACACGCGATCCTCCTCCACCTGGATCCGCGTGAGGGACGCCAGCAGGTTCAGGGAGGCGGGCTGGGATCAGGCCGGCAGGGTGTTCCGCGGCTCCTGGGGGCTCGTCACCGGCCTCAGCTAATTGCTGCAGCCGCGCGGGTTCTGTCTCCGCCGCCCTGCCCCCTCCTTCTTTCCTGTGCCCCCCGTCCCGCTCAGGAAAGCGTGTGCGTCCACGCAGGGGGAGCCTGGGGCTCCTGGAGAAGCCCAGTTCACGAGGAGTGACCGAAGGTCCCTGGTGGCGGATGGCGGGGGCCTCATTCATGGAAGACCGATGGTGCACCGTGAATGTTCAGTGGGGGCGGCGGTGGGGAAGGAGCAGAGAGCAGACGCTCCCCGAGTCCCGGATGGTGGCCCGTCCAGGCATGAGAAGCACCGGGGGGACGGTGGGGAGTGAGGGGATGCTCAGAGCGGCATCCTGCAGGCCTGCCACGAGCTCACCAGTGGCCATAATTAGGCTCCTGCAGTGGGTCCAGCCCTGGGCTGGAGAGACAGGCATAGACCCTCCTCTCCAGCCCAGGTGGGAGCAGAGGCCCCGTCCTTGAGGGTAGAAGCGCCTGGGCTGGGTGTCGGCACTGCGGCGGGGGCTGCAGAGAAAGGGACGTCCACACAGCATCGTCCAGGGTGGAGGGCAGCGGGTGAAGGTCGTGCTTCCCAGGGGAGGTTGGGGGGACAGGGATATCCGGGGTGGGCGGGGGACAGAGAGACCCCAGTGGGGCGCGGGGACAGAGAGCCCCAGGTGGGGCGGGGGGACAGAGAGACCCCCGTGGGGCAGGGGACAGGACGCCCCAGTGGAGGTCAGGGGGACAGGGAGCCCCGAGTTGGGCGGGGGGCCCTGGGCTCGAGCTCGCTGAGCTGGAGGTGAAGAGGGTCTGCAGTTCCCAGCTCAGTGCTCAGGCCCAGGACTTGGGGCTGGCAGGCGTCTTGTTATGTTCCTTTAGTTCAAGTCCGAGAAGAGTGCAGTGGAATTAAGTGATGATTATTGACGAGCAGGCAAATTAGTGGGTCATGCCCCACGTGTGCCCGATCTCATTCTAAACAGTGACAGCCATTCCCGACTCCGACCACAGAGAAGCCACCCATGTCGGGCACCCACCTGTGGGGTCTCTTTTGATCCTCATGACAACAGTGGGTGCACGGTGGCTGTTACAGGCCCGTCTGACAGAGTGGCGCTGAGCCTGGCCCATGTTCTGTCCTTGTTAAAGACGCTGCTGAACAATTTCCAACACTGCAAGTGAAATGGAGTAAGACACGGGCCCAGAACTCAAGCCCCGGCGGGTCTGGCTGATAACCTTGATCCAGCCCAATCCAGGGCTCTGAGCCATTTTTCCGTGAACAGGCTTCGCACACAGAGTCGTCCTTTGCTTCACAATAAGTGAGAACACAGGAGATGCCCCATCGCGGAGCCCTGCCTGCGGCCCGGGAGCGTGGCAGCTGTCCTCCTGTCTACTCATCGCCTTCGCCCCCCGCGGGCTGTGGCGGGGGTGGGCAGCCTGCCGCCCCGTGCGGTCATGCCAGCCGGCGCCCCCGGGGTTGTGACGGGGGCCACCAGGCTGGAACTGGGGTGACAGTGACAACAAGAAGCGAGGTCTCAGAATCTCCTATCCCAGTGCCTAGTGACAAAAATGTGAAAACTAGTAAAACAAAGCGGGAGGGGAGGGCTTATTAAATGGAGTTAGGTGATCAGGTCAGACTTACCAAGGCCCACCGGCCTGGACAGGGGCCCGGCAGCGAAGGAAGGCAGGGCTCACTCCACCCGGTTAGACCAGCCGTCCCACCCTTGGTCCACACGCCCAGAAGTGTCCTGATGCACCAGGCGTGAGGGAGGGTGAGCCCCCCACGAGTGCAGGCCCCTGGACAGGCTCCACGCTTAGGACACCACTATCAAGATTTCCCTGGTGGCTCAGACGGTAAAGAGTCTGTCTGCAAAGTGGAAGACCTGGGTTTGATCCCTGGGTCGGAAAGACCCCTAGACAAGGGAGTGGCAACCCACTCTAGTATTCTGGCCTGGAGAATCCCATGGACGGGGGAGCTTGGTGGGCTAAAGTCCGTGGGGTCGCAGAGTCGGACGCGACTGAGCGTCTCCACTTTATCAAGGTTTAACTGGGGAGTGGGCTCGGGGAACTGGGTGGTGTGCCAGGACCACAGCCACCCTCAGGACTTGGAGAGAATGGACGCTTCCCGAGAGGTGGCCATCGGCCCGTCCACCTCCCGGACACGGCCCCGACTCCCAACCGCAGGGGCAGCTCAGAGGCTCCAGAAAGCTGTCAGCTGCCAGACCCCCACCCTCCGGCCAGGTGTGTCCTCGCAGGAGCCAGGGGGCTGGGCAGCGACTCGGGCGGTCCTGCGACACCGCCCACCCTCCTGTTCTGTGAGGACGCGGTCACTGCCCACTATCACCTCGTCCTCTAGATTTTGCCTCCCGTCCTGGGCCAGGTCTCCCTTCACCCCTTCCTTCCCTTCTCATTTCAGACTTTCTCAAATGTTGGTTCCTTTCAATTCATACCTAAATCTTTTATTTTTCTATTTCCTTCGTTTATATTTGGTGTGTACCTAACAGGAAACTTTATACCACTTTATCAGTGGAGGCAAGCCATTTTCCATGAGTACCAGAAAACACTGAAGTCAAAATAATGTCAGTAAGCTCGAATTCAGTTGCGCGCCTGGCAAGCGCGGGCCCCTGCATGCTCGCGTCTAAAAGAAGGGGGGTTAGCGAGTGTGACCAAGGGGGTCGAGGCTTCTGCTTGAAGCCGTTGGAAGACTTGAGAGATCGCTTGTACGGCAGAGACTTCTCCCTGCAGAATTTGGTGGTGCTGCGCGTGGCTCCCTTCCACGCGTCTCACGCGCCACCATGCTGGGGGATCCGAGGCGTGTCAGAGCCTCCCACACTGAGGACGGGGCGGGCCCCGTGGCCGGTTTCCTTCTCTGTCTGCGTGTGGGGGTGCAGGGGCAGCCAGGCCAGCCCCCCGCGCACCCCACGGGCGGGGGCAGTGGAGGAGGCCCCAGCAAGGATGCCCAGGCTCGCCCTGCAGGTGGATAGCAGGAGGCCCAGGGTGTCCCCCAGCAGCAGGCGGGAGGACCAGCCTGAGGGGGCCAGGGACAGTCCCCCGCTGTGCGTGCTTCCCATGCCTGTTCCGGGCACAGAGCGGACAATCTTTCCCCGGTCTCCTCCCGGGACTCGGGGCACGCACACGCGCCACCAAGCACAGCGTGTCCTGAGGCTCGCTGTCCGCGCTGTTTCCAGGCGTCACAAAGAAGTGGGAGAGCTCAGCTCCAGAGCAGTGTCACAGCCGCTCCCGCACGTGGACAGTGATCTGGGATCCGGCGCGGGCCTGACGCTCGCCAGCCCAGATCCGGGCCGGGCCCACCTTCCTCACCCACCCGCCCAGCCCCAGCGCCTGCACGGGGAGGCCCGGCGCGCTCCATCTCTGGATACGCCCGTCCTGATCGATGTCCAGTCCCAGCGTGCATGCACCCAGGTCAGAACACTTCCGTCCTGTTCGACGTCCGGTCCCAGCCCTGGGCCCACCAGATCCGTGGCCCCCGAAGCAGAAACCGGCCTCCCTAGCGTCCCCTGAACCCGAGCTCAGCTCCCACGCCCTCCCTTCCCCCAGAGCCTCCGCTGCCAGCCGGAACGTGATGAGAAACTCCATCTGGGCCCAGGAGACTCGGGGCTGGAAGGCCCTCCGCCTTCTCCTGGCCCCTGTCCCGCCGGCGGCATGTGTTTGGCAAGGCCCTCCGTCCTGCCATCTCCAGCGCCAGAAGGCCGGCGGCTGGCCTTCCCCCCCCCCCCGCCAACCCCAAAGCCCTCTCGGCCTGTGGGCTCCCTGCAGGCCAAGTGGACTGAGCGCCCCACTGGCAAATCGCCTCTGGCCGACCAGAGGTGGCTGGGGCTCCGGTCTGCCGGTCACAAGGTGATGTGGGCAGGTCTGACCTGGCCCCGGGTCCTCACCCCCTGCCACCACGCCCCATGTGACGTGGCTTTGCGCCTCTGCCCCTCATGATGTGGGGTCCACCTCCCCACCGTCCTGGGCTGACTGGTGACGTGTTGTGGCCACAGACCGGGTAGAAAGGGCACCGTGCAGCTCTGAGCTGGGGCCTCACCTCCGCACCACCTTGTGAGCCTGGACGGCTCTGTGAACAAGCTCGGACCGCCTGTGATAGGAGCCAGGAGAGAGGTCCCAGCCTCCCAGGATGGCCTGTACCCAGCCAGCCCCCTCACACACGAGCCCCTGCCCAGACCAGTGGAGCTGCTCTCAGACCCCCATGGCCCCAGAGGTGTGAGTGAGCCCCCCAAACCACCCTGCACACACACACACGGAGATCAGCAGAGCTGCCCAGCCAGCCCCTGGCCTCATGGAATGTATTGGCTGTTTCGGCCCCTGGGTTGTGGTGTGACTTGTTACACAGCAAGAGCTGACTGATACACAAGGGTGATCCTTCCTGCCCAGGGGAGCCGGGAAGAAGGGACAGCCTCAGTTCAGGTGTCCTGATGATGCGCCATCCCCCAGACTGACAGACAGACAGCCTGGGAACCCGGGCGAGGGTGGGCTCTGGCCCCAGGGTCCTGCAGTGTGGGTGCCAGCAATGGGGGGGTGGGGGGCGCGTCAGGCCTCCAGCCTCACTCAGCCCTCCCCTCCACCCCCGCTCCCCGGCTCAGTCCTCTCTGACCCAGGTGCCCAGTCCCCCCAGTCCCCCCCACAGCCGCCCAGTCCCCCCCAGTCCCCCCCACAGCCTGCTAGACGAGTCTCTGCAGGCCTCTTGACTGGTGGTCCCAAGCAGCTCGCGGACCGTCTCCCAGCCGCCAGGTTCCAGCAGGATGCAGCAGGTGGCTTCTACGCAGAGGCCACCAAGGGGGACCTGGTGACCCGGGGCTCCCAGGGGCGTCCCCACAGGTGATGCCAGCGGTGATGACCTTGGGGGGTACGTGGACAAACATTTCACTTCTTAAAATTACATCTGCACTTTACTTTATTTTCCCTTTTCCCCTTTCGTTTGAAGATAAGAAGTGATTTATTAGAACAGGACGCTTGTGAGGCTTACAGTTGGGTGGGGGAGGGGGTGCCTCGCCCTGAGAACTTACTGGGCTTTAAACAGTTCTACAGTCAAATATTTCCCTTTTTGCCTTTTGACTCCCTTCCCCCATGTCTTCCGCCCCCACCTCCTGCCTTTGCAGCCACCAGTCTGTTCTCTGTATCTTTCAGCTTTTGGGGCGGGGGTAGTTTTATTTTTGCTTTTCTATTCCACATATGAGTGAGATCATAT